TTTTTTTTTTTTTTTTTTTTTGTTCATCGCATTGAGTAATTTGCAGTAGAAATTATTGTTGTTCGTTATTACCCAGAGTACCAAGCTTCCATGGCTGTTCTGATTTGTTTGAATCGCTTCTTTGCCTGTGATGAGTTCTAGAAGAACAACTCCATAGGAGTAGATATCTATTTTCTCGTCGATTTTTCCATACATGATGTACTCTGGAGCTAAGTATCCAAATGTCCCAACGATCTTGCATGGCTTTGTGTTGGATTGTCCATTTTGAGACTGTTTGAGCTCTGTTGCTTCCCCAAAATCTGCTAACTGTGAATGGAAGCACCAAATTTAAGCAGTGATTTTGAAAATGTAGACGGTTAGTGTTAGGAATTACGACACCCAACAATGGTATGATATTGTCCACTTTGAGCATAAGCTCTCATGGCTTTGCTTTGGGCTTCCCCAAAAGACCTCGTACCAATGGAAATTTATTCCTTAGTTATAAATCCATGATCTACTCCTAAATTAGCCAACGTGGAGGGGACTCCCTCCCATCAATTCTCCCCTCGAACAAAGTATACCATAGAGCCTCCTCTGAGGCCTATGTAGCCCTCGAACAGCCTCTCGTTAACCGAGACTCAACTCCATTCTCTGGAGCCCTCGAACAAAGTACATCTTTTGTTCGACACTTGAGTCACTTTTGACTACACCTTCGAGGCTAGCAACTTCTTTGTTCAATACTTGAGGATTCTATTGACATGGTTTAGTTAAGGGCATGGCTCTAATACCATGTTAGGAATTACGACTCTCCACAGTGATATAATATTGTCCACTTTGAGCATAAACTCTCATGGTTTTGCTTTCGGCTTCTCCAAAAGGCCTCATACCAACAGAAGATCTATTCCTTACTTATAAACCCATGATCAACCCCTAAATTAGCCAACGTGGGACTCTCTCCCAACCATCCTCAACCGTTAGAAAGGTTAGAAATGTGATTGACTTACTTGGGGTTGGAAGTTACCAAAGAGGAGGATGTTTGAAGACTTTACATCTCTGTGGATGATTGGAGGGTTGCAAGAATGATGAAGATGATTCAATGCTTTTGCTACTCCAATTGCAATCCCCACTCTCTCCTTCCACTCCATTTTTCTTAGATATTGATTTAGGCTTCCTTTAAGCAAATTGTACACAACTGCCTGCATGTTTTTGTCACTACAAAACCCAATAAACTGAACTATGTTCTCATGTTTGATCTTAGATAAGATTTCAACTTCCTGAACAAGGTTGTCGGATGGCGAATCCGAGCTTAGAATTTTCACTGCTGCTGCTTGTCCGTCTTCGAGGTTAGCTCTATACACCTTGCTATGTCCACCTTCACCAATCAGCATTGCAGGATCTAAATTGTTGGTTGCATAGTTGAGCTGCTCTGATGTAAACTGCCTTTTGATTCTTGTTGAATATTGCTGTGATCTAGAACTAGGTAACAGTTCATGAGGTGCAAAGTTGAGAAATGGCTGTGCTTTCTTGGAAATTTTCTGTTTTTCATTTGCTTGTAGAGAAGAGGGTAGCGTCGAACTCTTCTGTAGGTCACGGATATTAGTTTGTTGATATCCTGAATGTGAAGATCGTTCGGAGCCTTGTTGTGAAGTTCCTTGGTTTTGAAATAGAATTCTGCCTAGATTGTCCATCACCATAAGAGTGCAAGTAGGAGGCAAGCCTTTTAGGCAGGTACTGAAAACTGAATAATCAGGTCTGCAGCAAAGGACCTTATAAGAAACTAAGAGGAAGAAGGAAAGAGGGTTGGAAGGGAGAGCTCATATGTTTCATCCAATACCTTGAAAGGCTACATCCAAGTACCAAAATACTGGCGTAGCTTTCTCGTACTTGACGGGTTAAGTTCGAAATATAAGGAGTGGTTTCGCTTACCTTAACCTGTAAATCGACCTGAAAAAACCAAAAAACTAATCAGTTGAAACCCAATAGAGAAGACCAGCTTATTAGTTTCTGTAATTCAAGTAAGACTGATAATGGTGATAAATACCTGCTTGGATTTGCAAATATCTTCATGGATGTGGAAAGTATTTGGATTGAAACTATCATTTGGCTCTTGAACATGAATAGCCAGAACGTAATCTCCCGGATTGACGAGTGCCGTAAGCAACCAAAGGAGGATATCTCTGCTTCCATTGTCAGAATTTAGACCGACGATGATCGTCCTCTTCTTCCGAGTCTTGGGCTTGATGAGTGACAACATTTCTGAGAAGATAGTGAAGAAAGTTGATCCCTATTCTAAGCAGAATGAACACTAGACCTTATTAGGTTGCAACTCTGATGATTTCTGTTTGATCTTGTCTCTACAGCATTAAAAGACTTCAAATGTAGATTACATATGAAGCATTCCATCACAGCTTGAAGGGTTCCCCTCTATTCTTCTGTCTTTCTCACATCACATCACCTTCCTTTACCCCACATCTTGTCTTTGGCATATCATCTCTCCATAGTTTTGATTCCTTTTATTGGTCATGGAATGATAAGGCAACTATACACCTGTCTGGATCTCTTTGAGTTAATCAAGGTGGATATTGTCTATGGTGACTGTCATTGATGTTTTGCTACAGGAAAAAAGGAGGGAGGAAGCAGCCTCTGGCTAGATGGCAATGATAAAATAGAGCAGTACGGTCACCAGCCGAGCTACACCATTGTTCATGGTGCACGGGAGTCCCCAAAAGGACATGAAACTGTCTGGACAGGAAGGGAGAGAGAGAGAGAACGGTTGTAACAGCCCAAGCCCAACCCCACCGTTAGGAGATATCGTCTGCTTTAGTCTGTTACTTATTGCGGCTAGCCTCACGGTTTTCAAACGTGTCTACTAGGGAGAGGGTTTCACACCCTTCTAAGGAATGTTTTGTTCCCCTCTCCATCTGACAATTGTGAGATCCCACATCAATTGGAGTGGGAAACGAAACATTCCTTATAAGGGTGTGGAACCTCTCCCTAGCAGACGTGTTTGAAAACCGTGAGGTTGACGACGATATATTATGGGCCAATGCGGACAATATCTCGACGGTTTGCCAGTGGGGATGTTGGACTCGAGGGTGGACATAAAAGGGACAAATATCCAAAAAGAATAAACAAGCCTTTTTGTAATGGCATTATCATCCAACTGGAGAGGCAAATCTAGACAGTGCATCAATGGCAGTTGTAATTAAGCCTTTTTTTTCTTTCTTTCTGTAATGGCATTATCATCATTGTCTCATTCAGCCAACACCCTCCATTAAAAGGGTCCCCCAACATTCACTCTACATTGATAGCACATTCATTTCCTCACCTGTTTAGGGAGTGAAGTGCAAAAGTGCTTTTATTCATCTTCAAGCAATATTACTTGTACATATCCAACTAAGTTTCACTTGACGAGCCTACCGAACTAGGTAGGAATCCGATGAGTTCGCCCACCGCTATATTGCAAACAAAATGATAATCCAACTCAATATATTTCTACGTTCAGGATGCAATGTGAGCAGACAATGAATAGAGCGAGCGTTCACGTCGAAAGAAATTTACTGATCCTTTAATGAGTGAGTAGTTCACTCGATCACACGAGCATTAATAAGTTCTTCAATTAAATCATCAAGTTGTAGGGAAATTGTGCGAGACAATATTGCCAAGAAAAACACTTGCTCGTAATGAGCTTTGCTACCAACAAGAACATATTTACGGAATCTAAGTCTTCTCGTTGTTTGTACCATTTACAAATAAGTCAAATCTTATAATACTCAAACGATCTATTAGCTTCACCGTATACTCTTATCCAGTAAATTCATTTGTTTTCAATAGAATGTTTGCACGGACAGACAAAATTATGGTTTCTACGCCCAAAAATTTGTTTGTTATATATATATATTTATTTAGATTATGGTTATTTAATATAAAAGAAAAGAAAAAAAATGAATGAACTAGAAACAAATGAATCTCTTGAATTGAAAACTTTTGGGCTTCCATTGGGCTTTCGGCCCATTTCATAAGTGGGCTTCAATGGCTTCATATTGGCCCTAAAAAAGAAAATTCTTATTTTTTTAAAAAAGAAGAAATTCAAGTTAAATTAATTAAATGCAAGGATCGAAATTGGAAATTCCAAGAATACCCTTTGACAAGAATGTGAAGCAATCAATAGAGTTAGTGGTATTTACAATAATGAATGAAATTATAATGTGACAAATAATGTTGCATGCTCCAGCCATAAATATTTGTTTGATGCATTAATTTCAGCCCACATTACATTACTATAAAATTTTATCCTATGCTCATATCATTGGTTTCAATTATTATTATTTTTTTCTTTTTTGTCTCAACGGTCAAAAATGTTTTTAGTGGTTAGTCCCTATAAATTCTATTATACCAAACCCTACGTACCACCTTCAATAATGCTATTTAACTTATATATAAAAATAATAATCAAACTTTATTCCTCCTTTTAAATAATTAAAAATTGAATACAATAAATTTTCCACTTTTTATCTTAAAAAAAAATAAAAAAATATCTTTACCGTTAGTTTTGGATGTAAGCTGATAATATTTTGGAAATTTCATAAAGGTTTAGAAAAATACTCTGAATTTTCAATACTTTTAAAAAAAAATTTGATACTTTTTTAATATTTAAAAATATTTTTACCATCGGCACCACATTTCAAAAATATTAATGAACTTTTCAAAATAATTAAAACGTTTGTAAATGAAGTATCGATAAATGACTTTGTTCCATATATTGACGATAAGAATTTTTAAAATTTTTTTTTTATAAGAGTAAAAGATGTTCTTACTCTTACTTGAATTATTTTTAAAAAATTGAAGGGTATAAATAAAAAAAAAATTCGAAGTTCAAAAGTATCTTTTAAATAAAAAATAATATTTAGATTTTTTAAAAATTTAAGGATATTATTAAAAATTTAAAATTTTGAGAAGATTTTTTAGATAAAATATAAAATTTATATATATTTTTGGATTAGGCAAATAATGAAGGGTAAATTATTTATTTTGGTCATTGACCATTGACCAGTAACAGAACACACATGTGACGCACGTGCTTTCTTCTTCTACTTTGCTTATTTATTTTATTAATTAAAATACTAATCCTTGTATTTAATATATCGCCGATATTTTTTATTCTTAATGTGCAATTACTACGAAATATAAGAAAATAATCAAGTTGAAGACTTGCCCTAAAAATGATTTTTTTTTTTTAAATATTTTTGTAATGGGATAAAAGAAACCGATCGGTAAACTTGCACGGAATTGACTATCTACTTACTTTGAGCAGTAGCGAGGAGCCCACGTCTTATTTGACTAACCTATGGTGTATTCTGGCTAAGTGTCGGGTTGTTGGCAAAGAGCATAGGGGCCTAGTATGTTTTTGAAAGGGAAGACGACAGTAGTACTTCAAATGGCGAAGAGAAGAATGAATAAAATATCGTCAAAGATGAGTTCTTCTCTCTCGACAGGTAATTCTCGAGGCGGAAGTTATTCTCTCGGGAGTTTGTTTTTTCTGCCATCTTAGTGGTTCTGGTATAATAATCTTTCACTTAAGCGGTCATACTCTAATTTTCTTTTCGATGGTAACACCCTTAGAGAGCAGAGAGAGATTCTTCTCTATTAACTAAACGGGGATAGGAGAGGAGTTTCGCAGGGACGATGAATGAAATATGTGATATCCCACATTGGTTGAGGAGGACAACGAAACACCCTTTGTAAGGGTGTAGAAACCTTTCCCTAATAGACGCGTTTTAAAACATTAAGGGGAAGCCTGTAACACAAAGCCTAAAAATGACAGTATCTACTAGTTGTAGGCCTGAGCTGTTACAAAATAGGAGGCGAAAACGAGGACAAGGACAGAGACGGAGACGAGAAAGACTTCTTTGTACTTATCCCACCTCGTTCCACGAGCGAAGGAGGATGAGGGTCAACATCTTTCATGACTCGAGGCTTGAATAGAGATATAGTTTTGTTGATTGATTGATCTACGTTTACCTACGACATGTAGTGTTCAAATATATTTAACCAAACATATAATTTATTGATGTTTCAAAGTTTAATAATTATTTTCCAATAAAAAGCGTACTTCAAAATAATATTAATTAGACGAAATTAACTCAATTCTTACCTAACACATCACTCGTACTATTAGACAAGTAATTATTGACCTATCACAATTATAGATAGCACCGGCTTTAACTTTTAATACTGCTTCGATTCAATATTTTGTTTATAATATCTGAAAAAAATGTTTAAGAATCAAATAACTGTGTTTGATGTTACATATAAAATATTATCAGAATTTCATTAAAAAAATTATTCAAGAATCAAAATTATGAGTAAATTTAACTCGACTACTAAGTCAAATCATTACATTATCGATCTTAAAGTAAAAAGTTCTGATTTTCACTTTTACATGTTGCTTATGGCTGCATAACAGATGTCCCAATCTTGCTTGTTCAAGTCAGTTAACAGGGACGTCAACCAATTGAGTGGGGGAGGATGTCATAGTCATGCTTGTCCAAGACATGTTGCCTATGGTTGTGCTCGTTCCAAACCCCTTGTTCATGCTTTTATCTTAGATAGACCTTTACCATTTCATATTAGGTCAATATGGGGGTGTATGACCGTTCACCAGAATCATGTCTACACCCATCTGGGCAAAAATGCCCCGAAATGTACTATAGGGGGATATGACTAGTTGTCAACTTCTCCCTACTCGATAGTTATATGCAGTAAGCCGCTGTTGTTGCATTTTGCTTACATATTTCAATTTCTCAAATCTTGCTTTCAAAACTCTCTTTCGAAATCTCTCTGCCCCTGTTTTCTAAAATTTTCTTCTTAAATCGGGGCCAGAGACTCGAGCATACGCCGCTTGGTCGTAGGCGACGCAAGAACGAATAGACTTAACTCACTTACTGCTGAGGAGTGAGTGTCGCACAATCGCAAGTCTGCTGCCTGCTGAGGAGTGAGTGTCGCACAATCGCAAGTCTGCTGCCATCAAAGTGGGACTGTGACGAGTGTATTTAACATTTTCAAAAATTTTAAAAACATTAAAATTTCAAAATTTTATTTACATGACATTAGAAATTCGTCTTATAATATAAAGAGAATTATTAATATGAAAAATAGGATAAAGCATTTGATATATTAATAAAAATTTAATAACTTTGGATGAAAAATGAATAAACAATTATTTAATCAAACATTTAAAAAAGAAATGAAAAAAATAATAATTATTCAACAATTGGTAAAAAGGGAAGGATAGCGATAAGACGAAGAGCATGAGCAATGAATGAAAATGGGACCCACCACGTTGGGGTATCAGAGATGGACGGCTGTGATCTAATCTCACAAATCAAAACATTGTGGGGTCCAAATTCTGAAACTCACAAGTGAAACAAAGACTGCTTGCCTCCAAAATTAATCTTCCCCGACCATCCGACCTGGCCTTTGGGCCCCACTTTCTCCATGTGGTCCTACACGTCACCCCTTTTTTTTAATAATTTATTATCGAGAAGCTTATCAATGGTGTGTAGATCACGTTAGTCTATCGTTGCCTCTCGAGCAACTTGGTAGTATCTAATATCATGGTTGAATGTCAAAAGATGGACTTTGAGCTAATCTAACTAAATTGAGGTGACTAACGAGACTTACGAGTGCACCTGCTTGCCCTACTAAGCTCGTCGACTCGACCTAAAAGGAGAGTCAGGAGAGTCAAATGCTATGGATATGAATGTCTCCCTACATGTAACGTTGATTGAATGTCATGTGTAGAGATTGACTTGAGGTAGACACGCTTACTAATTCAGCATTGGATAATATTAAAAAAGAACGATATCTGTTAGCGGTGGGTTTGGACTGTTACAAATGGTATCAGAGCTAGATACTAGACGGTGTGCCAACAATAACGTTAAGTCTCGAAGGGGGTGGATTGTTAGATCTCACATCGATTCGAGAGAGGAACGAGTGTCAACGAGAACGCTAGCTCGAAGCAAGAGTGGATTGACTTGATACCTTTATTTCTTACTCGGATGATTTGACTTGATAGTCGTTGTAGGTCGAGTCTCGAACTAATTTAGAGCCATATGAACTCGTTTTATAAAACGTTGGTTGTGGAGGCAAATTACCCTTTTCTCCCTCTCATAAAATTTAAATTATTATAACCTAAATTAAACATTAGCCTAAAAACACTAATAATCTCTTATATTCCTATTTTAAAAAATAAAATAAAATACATTATAAATCAAGTACGGCAGCGTTACGTATAAACAGTGTGTACGAATCGAAACGGCCCATTTTCAGCCGTCTGATTCCCGTAGGATGACTCTGATTTCGACAAGTGGCGGATTGACTTTCTAGGTCGAAGT